AAATTTTACTATCGACAAAACAAACTTTTTTCGATTGGAATGTCCGGATTCCTACCGAGCACGTCCTATTCGCAGTAAAGCTATCGCAAGACTCCCCTGAGGAATATTTTTATCACAATTACAAATGGCAATAATGCACTGTTCACGAACTTGTTTTTATCTGTTTAAACAGCGCTAATGCTTATGTATGTTAACTTCAGATTAAACAAAACGACAATTATACTAAATTCACTAGATTCAACCAACGTTTAAATCAACCAATATTTGCCATAATTTCGCTTACAAAAAAGTACAATTGTTTATGTAGAATGCGACGAAATATACTTCTTTTCTTGACTGTGAGATGATTAATGTTTATGCTAAAAACTTTTATAGTATTTTTAGTACTTAATTCTCAAATGAAATTCATAATAACAAAGATCGTTGCAAACTGGCATTAAGCAGTGACAAAGAAAAATAGTTATTTTTAACTGAAAGTAAGTAACGGATTGCGTATTTGTGTGGAGTTGTCTGTGATTTTATTTAAAAATTGAATGTCAGTAGCTACACTTACCCGTTCACAACTAGGAACACTCCACTGAATTGTTACATTTGATTGTAAAAAAGTGAACACTAAATCCAGTACATAATTGCACAAAGCAGACAGGGGTTGATACACAGGGCATAAATGTCAAATTGGGGTCACATGTTGCTTCTTCAAATGAAAACCAGGAAAAAACTGAGAGAGAAAGAGAGCGCCGACCACAATTGATAAGTTACATTATGAGTAATAATTAAACGCGGTCAAATTAATTTGCACTAATTAAGCGAATCCTGCATCTAAATGCAAGTAACACACATTGGCAATAAACAAGAGAGTATCGACATCATCCACCGTTTCCGAACCCGCCCATACGACAACGAACTGTTCTTTACCAAATTAAAAACGTGTCTACGCGATTTCACATTGTAATTGAATGGCCCGACTGGTTTTCGGAACTAGAAATCGCTGGAATTCGCCATTTTTGTTTAAATATCACTACATAGGCAAACTAAGAAACATTTTTTATTTGTGTAAACTAAATTCGACGGCTGACATGAGGCGTGACGTTCCTGCGTCGTCCGTGGAGGGGATGGAAAAGTTTCAAATGTCATATTTTCAAGGCCAGAACGGGTAATGTGGATAAGGCGCTAAGTTTGAATTTTCTCAATTATTTAAAGCTCAACCGACATCAACCATTAGCAAACAGATATGGGCAATTTTTGTTTTCATCATAAATCCCGAAATTAATCAACATTTGGCAAAGGCAGTAGGTAACAAACAGTTCTTTAACAACAATGAAGCTAATTCAGTTAGGGCCGTTGAGAGGAGAGCTCCCAGTGACGTATTTCTTTGCAACAGTATTTAAAGCGCGTGACATCACCATACTATGGTTGGAGAAACAAAACATCACATTTTCGAAATTTATTTAACTTACTTTAGTAGTCATATATCTTAAAACCATAGGAAATTGCATATATTTTTTTGGATATTTACCTCAAATTAGAGACTTTTATTTCAGTTTTTTCTATTGCTGTGATGCTTATTGTGAATATTGCTTATACCTCTCACCCCGCCGAAGCTGCACAGTAAAAAATGAATAGTTTATAACCAATGATTTTTCATATTTATGTATAATAGTAAACCATAGAAAATAACTATTTATAACATTTTGGAACAGGTTACCAAATTTCTAGCAAATTAAGTAGCAAATATATGTGGGTGAATTCCCGTTTTGGTAAGGACATCGGCTTAAAATTCATAAAAGAAAATTTTCTATGCTGAAAATATGCAGTTTAGCAATCTGACCAAAGCTAACAAAAACTGAAACCAAAATGTTGATCTGTTAGATAATCTGGAATTCTGGGCTACATATTGCGCTCTTTGTTATTTTATCAAAAAGTAGTATATTTCAATGAGTGAATAGTAGCAGAAAGACATCTTTTCCCTAGAAACCCACTTAACATTTTTTTAGTAGAGGGATCATCTACAAGGTAGCCACATTTTAAAATTTGAATACCATGGAGGTTGATTCCCAGAAAATTAACTAAAATGTTTCGTATTGTATCTTCTGCAATAATCCCTGGAATTTTATGAAGTCAGCAAGCAAAAACCACCAATTATGCTTACATTCCTTCTAATTCATTATATTAAAAGGGCTATTTTAGCAATAAATCAATATATACATATTTCCTACAATACTCGTATTTTACACATTTTGATACTGGAAAAATAGGTAATTTAGAACGCGATTTTCACATTTTAGATCGTCCTAAAAAAGCTGTTAACTTTTTTTGAAAAATAGCGCAAATTTGAAATTTGAACAGTGTGCCGAAGTCACTGCGGTAAGTGATCTAAAATATTTTCAAAATGGCCACTCTTCCGGTTATACCGGAAGTAGCTATAGTTGATAGCTGCTTATTTTAAATGGATCACCCTATATATTATTACATTTTTAAATTCTACTTCAAATTCTAAATAACAGCCTGTATAGTTTGCGACTTTACAACTTTTTTGATAAAAAGTTTTGTAAAGTTTCAAACCTTTATATGTATATGTTATCTGAATAAGTTCATATGTTTGCATCTCACACCTCATATTTTTTAAATCGGTTTTTGTTGTTACTGATTAATGCAAATCGCAACAGCATGAATGGCGAAATTAAGAAAGCGATCATGAGGGTCATACCAGAGACAAGGGATTATTTCTTTTCTTCTCTTGCGCTGGTCTCATTTCGAGTTGTTCAGTTCATTTATGTACTAGAAGGCTTATGAATATTATTTGAGGGCAATAAAATGAGCCGATCGGCATGCCTGCATGAATGGCGACTTTAAGAAAGCGATCATGAGGGTCATACTGCCCTCCTGGGAGTAATTTAATAGGACGGTTAAACTCAATATATGCACTCTGTGACAAATTATCCAAAAGGTTTTTTATGTTACTGGAATTAAAATTGTGATATTTTTACTGCAAATTTATTAGCTAAATTGAACTTTTTTATGTAAAAAATATACGCATTTATTAAAACAATAACTGGTGCAAATAAAATGGCTTAAATTTTATACATACATAATACATATGTGCAAATCCAAGCCGATGTTAAAAAAATTAGTGATTTAGTTGGTTGAGTATCTCTTTGCTTTGCCGCAAAAATCCGCTTTCTCATTTCTGATTAAAATATGTTGTTCCAATTCAAAATTTTTCAAAACCCATTTTGTGCATATCTCGAAACAATTGCGGACTTCTCTGCACATCGTTTCTCGTTACGAAATAACCATTATTACGTGACGGTGTCTGTAAGTTCCTTTAATATAAACATAAGTAGGAATACTTTCAAATACAGAGTTTTTAAAAACTAAATTTATTGTAAATTATTGACATTTTTCCTCATTCATACCGCAGGCTTTGCAATAGATTTCCTCTAACTCTATCTGCTTCAGTCTCCTGTCTAAAACATATCCAAACAGTTACTTTCAAAAATAAATCTATACCTATAGCTACAAACAATACCTTAAGTAGTTAGTAGGAAATCACAGATTTTAAACAATCTAACATTATACTTATATTAATCTATTTACATCTTGTTAAGTTAATTTTAGTCAGTTTCTGCCTTTTGATAAAGATGCCTTTATCAGAAGGCACTGCTCTTCCAACCTAAACATATTTTACTATTTCAATAATTCTTGCTCACATTTTGAATTCGCAGCCATAACATGTGTCTACCTTCTGTAAACAATCAGTGCGGTTTATTAGAACGTATTATTTATCCCCAAAAATGTCATAGGCTAGTATATCCCGTCTCATTGCTTTTACCTCCTCACTAGACAAATTAGCAGCATCAGCTCTGGCATTAATTTTATCCAATTTCCGTGATTTATTTACATTAGTCCTTCTTTTTTTTACTTTACTTTTACTGTTTTGGTCGAAATGATAGACAACTAATGGCAGAGGCAACATATTTCTATACGCAGTTTTGTCAAATACATCCGGTACTGCGTTTTCCGACAATAATTCACTTTTATCAGGAATATTTGCCTTATTTGCCACTACGTTGACTGAAACATTTGGTGCATTTTTTTGTTCTGGCAGCAACATGTTTTCGATTATTTTCACTTCATCTTTAAGTGGATTCTCTTGAGTTATATTATTTTCTTTTATTTTTGCAGTTAGAACACTATTCATTAACTTCAGATCCTCAATCTTAGGTTCACCCTCAGTTTTATTGGTATCTTTATCGGGAGCACTTTTCAAGCTGTCAACATTTGCATCAACTTTTTGAAGAACATCGTTTTGCACTTTTGCCACAATTTGGTCATTTTTCTTTATATCACCACTCAGTTTTTCTATGGCCTTCAATGCAATACTTTCAATCTCTTTAACAGCTTTGATTTCAGCTTTTAGTTTTTCGTCATTTTCCTTTTGTTCCTGTTGTTTTTCGATTACTTCGATCAGTTTTTTCTGTTGTTTTACAATTTCCTGCTGTACTTCATTTTGTTTTTGGATTTTATCAATCAATATCTTGTGCTCTTTCAGATGAGAGTCGTTAATTTCGTCTTGGCCTTGAAGAAGTGCCTCTTTGCCTTCCTTCTTTATAGCTTCCACGTCTACATTGTCAACATTTCTCGAAGCATCTGGTGAAATTTTTCCAGTATCAATTTTATTTGATTCCACAAAACCGTTATCTTTTTGCAACGTTTTTATGTTATCGGATTTTTTAACTTGATTTTCAACAATTTGCTTATCTTTATTGACATGCTCTTTTATACTTAAATTATTTTTCTCCAGCTCGACTTCTAAATCATGTTGAGAGTCTTGAGGTTCTACAGGTTGAGGTGGTTCATGTCTAATTTCTGGGCTATCGGTAAGTTTTATTACCTCTGGTTTGCTCTCATTTACTTTCAGCTTTACGTCGCCTGTTTTAATGCGTTCTTTGATGGGAGGTGGGGTATATTCGATGTTTAGGATTTCCTTCTCTACGTTTGTTACTACAGGGTATGATTGGACTTGATTCAACTCTTTTAAGTTCTCGTAAGTTCCCAATATCATCAAAATAATCCCAATAAATAGAATACATTTTGCCAAAAGTTTTTCATTGTTATCTTTGTCAGACACATTTATGAAACACATTACTGGAAATAAAACACAAATCATTATGCCTATGGAAGAGCCTACTAATCCTAATACAAATTCAATGTTGGGAATCAGAATTCCAATTAACAAAGACACAAATACTATTATTAATGTAAGCCCTTTAAATCTAGCTTCTGGAATATACTCAGCAGTGCCTTCATGGAACGGAATAATGTGTCTATAAATTAATGAATGAAAACTTGCACGACACGGAAATATAACTAGTGGGAAGCTAAAAGCAATTGACAATATGAAACCTAGTTTTATAACATTTGTTAATGAAGAAGAGGAGAAGCTTAGCAAAATGTTTCCGCTAAAGTTTTTATGGGAAAAAGCAATATAACCAAAGACCCCTACAAAGAAATAGACTATAGTGCAAATATTTACAGCATTTTTAATGACGTGATTCATTTTCTCTAAACTGGGGTTGTTTACTATCCGGTAGATTTCGAAGAGTTGCGTCTGGCAAGACAAAGCCATAGAAAATATTGGTAGGCATTGCAGAACGCCAGTTGGCTTCCAAAGTTCCACTTTATTGATCCAGTCCCCACGGAAAATATGGGGCACCGCGTCGATAACTATCTTTAGCACTAAACACACATAAAATCCGATCGTCGCTTTAGATACTCCCGAAAAACTATCAATGTTTTTCAGCAAACCGAGGGGCAAAACGCAAAACACAGCTAGTGTTAACATAATTGATATTCGCATTGTGCTAGTTGAATCTTGATCAATAATTTCAGACACGATGGCTGGTCCCAAGTCACCCATAACGACGAAAAAAGCTATGCAAGTTCCAATCAAAAATCCAATCATTCCAACTTCAATGATGAACTTTCCTAGCCTCCCAAATATGTAATAAGCCAAATATTCGAATGTCTTTCTTCGTGCGATAATAGCTGACTTTATCAGGAAATGGCATGAGAGTCTTGAGATCAAATTGCTGAGCAGTAATATGAAAATTGCTAATATAATTCCACATTGTTTGAAACAGTATGGCATAGCTAAAATGCTCACTCCAATAATACTGTTCGCTAGAGTGAGTATATGTCCAGTGTATGCTTCCATGGTGAGCTGGTGGTGAACTGACTCTCCCAAACTTAATAGCCTCATTCAGTTTTATTTTCAAAAGCGTACTGTAAGAACATTTCACATAAAGTTATTACTTTGTCAAAACATTTAAATTGGGGTTATGATTAGAACGCATCGTGTTATTCATATCTAAATACACCCGAAGATAGGAAATTTACAGGTTCAGAGGTGTTCTGTGGTTCATACATTGTAGATTGCCTGGTAATTTTGGACCAATGGGAGAGCGCGCGGGAATACGTCACAAGTTTGCCAATTTAAATTATTGAAACTTTTAACGTTGAATCAGTTGACATTTCTAGTTTGGTGCTTGTGGTTTTGGGTTTGTTCTCAAAGGTTGCAATTAGTTGGACTTTTCTTTTTAATTTAATTGCTTAATAAGTATTTAGAATACATTGCAATTTACATTCTCTCATATCCAACCGCACGCTCATAGTAACAAAACTTTCAGTTAAGGATATGCACTTGAGACGAGATACAAGCGAATAAATGTGTAAATAGTAAAATGTAAGAACATATTCATTTGTAAACAAACTTCATAAAATCCCGGGTGTTGGTTAATGATATGCGAATTGAAGGGTGTGTTTCTACACTTTGGAACAGTTGGTTAGTGCGTTATCGAAAGGACTGTAGGGCATTTGAAAATGGAAAACATGTGCGAAATCCAAAAAGTTTCACAAAATTAGCCAACGGGCTGTAACAAAATACAAATTCAAAAAGCCAACTGGCTTGATGAGAAAGAAATTTAGCAAAACTTAAAATGCTAAATAATAAATAAAAGTTCGCAAATTCTTCGTCACACAGGCATGCCAGCTGATTTGGCCGGAATCAGCAAAGAAAAATTTAAAATTTTAATTCAAATCTGAAAATAAAAAAATCGAAATTAAACAAAATGCGATCAATTAACGGCCTAAGGAAGTTGTGGGTTTAGGAATTGCCGAATTTCTGGCCCGCTTAAGGGGAGAAACTTAGATCTTTAAGCGGCAAAGGATGGATGAAAAACGGGGGTAAAATAGTCCACAATTCCCAAATGAGCGCGAAATACCCATTTGGTTAGTTAAATGGGACTTACCCTTAAATTCGGGAACCACTTGGCACTTGCTAAACATAGTTTTTCTATAGCCAACCGTTCTGGATATGCAACGAAAATATATACATACGAAACGGCGAAAATGTAATTCACTTTTGTCCATAATTAAAAGTTGGAGTCAGCCGGGTTTTGTTCACTGAAAGTAAACCGAAGCGCGGTCCATAAACACAACCTGGATCATACAGAAGGTAACCTGGGGAAAAAACGGGACTGACTCTGTCCTGACTTAATCTGGGCAGTCTTATTTATACCAAGAAAATGGGAATTCCTCTGCCCGGTACGCGCCATTCCGCTGTGCAGGCTTTTTTTTATTAGCAGAGATTTTCTAGATTCTCCTGTAACTAGGGTTTCCCTGCACGACAATTTCTACCATGATATCAATAGGTGTCCATTTGTGTGGAACAGTCACAGCACATCCCTCGGGGGGATATTCTGCGACTGTGATTGCCTATGGGCGGGACTCAAACGACACAATCACCCCAAAATTACACGTTAATATGCTAAAGGCCAATTCACACACACACTAGGCGCCCAGCTCACAGCACGGTCAACAATTTGAGTTGTAGGTACTACCTGCGTACTTAATACTCAGTTTTATGTAATCAACTTGTAGTGGCTTTTTGAAAGTCGTAGCTTTATTCCAGAACTTCTTGCAGGGTTGATTTCGTGGCTTGAAGTTGAAAAAGCAACAAGGTTATTGAACAGTTTTACAGACAACTTCATACTCCTTAATAATCCAATCACCCTCTAGGTGCACTCCACTTTTTTATATTTTTTTTCATTCAGTTCACTCAGTAGTAATAAATATAGAAAAATATTTATATAAAAACTAAGGTTTTCTTATCCGTAACCTAAACAGATTTTTATGGATTTTTAACAGGCATTAATTCAAAAAGAGAAAGTGAAATGAAGAATCGGTGATTAGAGTTCAATGAGTCAAGTCAATGAAAGTCGTTTTCCTGACTGCCATTCGCAAAATATTGTCCTCTATAAATGTGTTTAAACAACTCCGTTAGAACATTTTCTTACGAGCTTTGAAGCTATTAGGAAGTAAGCCGAAGACCTTACTTCACATATTTTATAAATGTGAATGCGAATTAAATGTTGGATTATACAACTATAATCTGTACGCTATAACTTTGGTCGCACGTCATCCATCGTCACGCGAGCGTTGATGCCATACCCACCATAAATTGAAAAAATATATATACACATAAATAATCGAAGGAGTATTAAATTATCTCAATGCTGGCTTTTGCTGATGGAATAATGGTTTATTTGAATACCGCAAATATACCGTCAACGCAAGTCATTCGATAAATCTACGATCGATTCGGCAGCATTGTAATTTTCACCAACCTAATTTTAAAGATGAACACACATAATCAACATCGCTTTCAATTTGGTAGCATTTTAGTTTTTTGGCATTTTATGATTACTTGAGGTTCTCCAATGCCCAAAACACAACACAAAAGCTTCGACTTATCACACAAATTTCACGCATAATTGTTTTTATGTTGATAGTCAAATTTCGTCACGGATGACGTGTGACCAAAGTTATAGCGTACAGACTATATATCTTATCCCTCGGACAACTAATGGATTGTCCTAGGTATATCCGTAATAAGTTAACCTATTACTGATGATTTTTTAACATGCCTTTTTAAAAATATTTGTATCAGAAAAAAACATGGGATAAAAAACAATCAAGAAAAACCCATGGGATGTTAGAAATCTGTTATTTCGTCTGTCGAGATATGTATGATTGTATTCAACGGCTTCTGATAGTTACATATACATATAGTTTATCGTCCAATCGAGTCAAATTATTAAAAACTTTTCTAGTGGTGCGCTTTTGTAGGAAATCGGGTTTCGAACAATTTTCGCTTTAATTAAGCGATTTAAGTATAATTTTCTCATAAGGAAACAGACATCTTAATTAACTTTGTGAACATCTCTCACCACACCGAAGTTCCACGAACAAAATTTAGTACCGTTAGCTTTGAGGATGCTCACAAGGGTATCAATTGTGCATTGATTGACGAGTAAGTTGTTTTTCTATATCCTTATCTTATTAATATTACCCATTAGAACTGAACGTTTTATTTACTGTGATTTAGAGGCTCTAATGATAACTTAATAATTTGTAGGCTTGAAAAAGACAAAAAAAATTACACACTTCAATACAAAAAGACCGATTTTTTGAATACCCAAAGGGTGGTAGCCATTAATAAGTAAGCACATATTTTAAGTGTTACTAGAGAAATACTTTTAACTAGTTAGTTTTGGTTTTTTTCTAGTAGAAGTAACTTTTTTGCTCCTTAGAAGAGCGATTTATATGGACCCCATCGATTCAATTCGATAAACAATATTTTTTAATAAATTGGAATCAAAAGTTGCCGTAATAAAACCGTTCAAATATCTGCTTCCAAAGTTGTATTCTGGTGTACTGAATGTAATACTAATAAATATCGCTACAGTTTATACTGCTAGACCAATTTATCCTGATTTTTGTTTACAAAATGAAAACTTGGTTGGACTATTAACAAATTATCATTTAGTGAGCCTTGGATCCTCATTTTTAATATGGAGTCATGGTTCGTAACATTCAATAGTTGTTGATATTATAACACGAAAATGAATCAAATTTCAATAATATTCGAAAAGAAAATTGGAAATATGTAATAGGGTACTCGCTCAATGAGTGCATATCAATATAACAATTGTTTAAAGGTTTCATACAAAAAATCAAGTTAGCATAAGATTCCAATATTTTCGAACATGAAACTCAAAGTTAAGGTAAACACTGTTCAAAATAATTCGTTATTGAAAATCTGAACTGTCGAAATTATACAAGTTTAAATTGAGGATAGAAATACATTTTCAGTTAGGGTAATAACAAGTCATCTAAAGCGTACCTAGAAAAGTTCCAAAGATTGGTGAACAACAAAACATTTCAGGTTTTGATATTGCCTAAAATATCAAACAGTCAAAACAAATGAATGCGACAAAATAATAAGGCAATATCTTAACACAAGCTATGAAATAATAAACAAATTAGTCAAACAATGGAAACTGAATCGCCACATACAGATTTATTTCGACTTTCGACTGTCACAAGAACACTGCTGAGAGCGCGAAACAAATTAATCCGGCATGGAAAATGCATCAACCAGCGGTTACACAAAAGTTCATTATATTCACAGATGTTAGTTTGTCTGGTCCCATTACATCGTTTTTTCCAACTAACACTTAGTATATCACTTCGTAGACTGTCGCTTTTTTGTCTCCGGAACCTGTTACGATATACTTATCGTCCGTCGAAATATCACAACTTAATACACTCGAAGTTTCCTTAGCCTGAAAAATATAGTAAAAATTAAAAAGTAAATTCTGTGTTCATCAATATAAGAATTTTTGTACCATAAATATAATAATTGTATTATCACATACGTGACTATTTGATTAGCATAATTGTTCAGTTAGCGAATGAAGTTCTAGCCATACACAAAACTTTCTTATTATTACTTAAAAAATAAAAATCATGATGGTCTAAAGTTAAAAATGTACGTAAAAATATGAATCTAGCTTAAGAGTAAAGTGTATTTTTGACAATATAAAAGTTTGGCATAAGGAACAGTTGATCAATCTTGAAAAGTACATGAATTAAACATGCAATTACAGCCATCTACTATGAAAAATCTGCATTCATAAATTTTCAAAAATTATTTGTTTTCGCTATTGTAAAAGAGAACTGACTAAGCAAAATTTATATTTTATAAAAAACTTCGTATACATTGTAGATTTAAATAAAGCTTTTCTTGTTCGACAATAATAAAAACCTTTATAGTGTTTTAAAAAAGGTAGTTTCGTATAAAAAAAAATTGGGTGCAACGTTCTTTTCGATACAAAAAGCGAGGAAATGGTTAAGTGCCATTCTCATAAAAAGATACCTGCGACTTGCTTCTTCGCTTTTCGAACATAAGTGCAAGAAACTATATTATTTTTAACTCCCTAAAGTTATAGTGTTTTGCTTTGATGTAAACATCTATGTATATTAAGGTTTGGTTTCCCAAATAGGGAAAGGAGTAAACTTGAAGCACTTATTTATAAGTGAATATTGTTATTTCCGTTTATCTGTATGTTTTGTTGCGTAAAATTGTAATTTTATGTGCAATATAATAAGTACATACTTATTACGTTTTATTTCAAAACGAGCCACTTTAAAAGCTATTAATTGCAGAAATTTGCTGTTTCGAAAAAAACATCTTATCTTAGATACATATAAGGGGGACATTCAAATGATCATTTCTAATGTAACAAGTAATAAACAATTACAACTAGAACTCTACGTAAATTTTTCAATTTTGATACATGAATATCAATAATTATAAACTCGCTTTAGCTTTACCTGAAATATACTCGCTCCGTATGGCGTTCTCCATGCATTTAAGAGATTATCTTTGCCAGTTGACACAAACCATTTGCCGCACGAAGCAAAGCGTAGACTCAAAACGCAGCTTTCATGCAAATGCAATTGATATTTGTCAGCTTTGGTGGCATGCAACACCTGAAAATAGAAAATCCCATTATAATTTGTTTTTTAACTACACATTATTGCGATGTAAAATTTAATCCGACATATGTTTATGTGACTGCTATCATATACATTTCTCCTAAATCAAGGATAGACTGATGTGTATTCTATACATAAAAAACAAACATTACCTCAACATTGGAGTTTTCCATTCCAACAGCAAGCCATTCACCTGTCGGACAATAGCCCAGAGAAAAAATTTGAGAACTGAAATCATGTTGCTGCAGTTGCTTCCCCTCGCGCAAATCCCAGCTACGGACGGTGTTGTCTAAACCTCCCGTCCACAATTTAGTGCCATCGGAACTAATGTCGATGCAAGAGGCACCATCCGTATGTCCCTGGAACAACAATGTCAAATTGTAAACTGTATCAAAGTTACAATATATATGAGGCCAAGAGTCAGCCCTGGCGTAAACCGACGGTAGTCCCAACCAGTAAATGGCCTAGGCCACGCCCCCTACCCTCATTTGTGAAAGGACCGGCCAGCAAGAAAGACAAGAAGGGAGCAGGAATTCGACTGGTCACGTAGCATTGGATTTGTGCGTTTCCAGCTTGCTAGAAAAGACTAGGCAATATTTTGCAGGAAGTGTTGGTATGTAGTCACGTATTGTCTGGGGCAAAATCTTCATAAAATGAGACGTCCCTAATAGAGGAGACTGTGGGTCGGGCGATCGCTTGCTCTAACTTGTGTTGTTAACAGGAACAGCAGTTTGGGTTCTTTGAACTGATATAGTGATAGAGACAAATAGAAAAACTGCAAAGGACACAGATACCTTAAACTGACAGCTGGAATGCGAACAACCAGAAACACCACTGTACTCAGACAGTTGTAAAGAGTGGTAGAACCATGTGTCCAATCTCCAATTAAAGTAAAAAAGTGTGACATGAAAAACTTATTTCGTTTTAAACGTATGCAGAGTACTGCAGGTAATGCCCTTGAGTTTATAGGTATGATGAAAGAAAAGCAGATTTAAAATTTTACACAAAAAAACCGTTTCAAATAAATAAAGGGGATGTAGTTCATTCAAAAAATAAATTACCTGGAACTGCCTAACTAATGTTTGGTTATGTAAGTCCCATACGGCAATGTTGCCGTCGGAGCAGCAACTAAAGCATACTTTGGAGTCCGGGCTGATGGCGAGAGCATAACAAGCTGGAGCCGATGATGTCAATTCCGCCTTTATTCTGGGTGTCGGGCTTGCTAGATCCCATATGGATAAATTTGAAGCCTCTCCACCGACGATTAACGTTCGGCCATCTGGTAACAGCTTTACAGACCTAATGTAGTTATCCCTCTGCTGAGAAAATAAAGAGATGCCATTAAATGTTGATCTGTTAGAATTAACCAGCACAAACAGTTTCTGATCACATCAACACGGCCTGACAGAAATTGCTAAACGAATATTCAAACCGCCTGGCGAATTATTTATGGCAATACGTATAGCATAAGCAGCGGCGGTAAAAAATCGACAACTTTTAGGTGTAGATGTTTAAATCGTGTGTATGCCAAAAAATTTAAATCACAAAGACAAAAGGTATCAGCAGCATTTTCATGGTGGCTTTTCGGTAAAAAATAAATTTATTTACATAATTGTATGTTAATCTTCAATCCAGAGAACATCGACAACTTAACTAAATTTAATACATTTACCAATCTAAACATATTGAAAGCTTCTTTGCTATAACTCGAATAGAAAATTCTCCAATAAAAAATATTCCAAAATCTCTTCTAAAGAGACATCAGACGCAAAGACCCTTATCAAACCGATTCAATTGCAAATAAATAAAGGCGAACAGTGTAGTTAAATATATAGAAGGTACGATCTAACCGAATGATTAGATCCAACAAGAATACTATTATTATGTTCAGTGACTTGACTGAGTGATAGTCCGCAAATTTATGTGAAAATCCACGAGTCTCTGTCTGCGTTGAATAAGAGAACAAACAGTTCGTCGCCTTTGCAGTAAAATAGTGATGAAAATGATAGTAAAAAAAGATTTGTCTCGCCAGACAAATCAAACTTTAACATTGTAAATAGTGACAGGAATTACTTTGCAAACCAAAAAAAATCGTAACACAATCCTAATAAATTTAATTAACAAATCTGTTGTCGACGCGTTATTCATGTTCTTTGGATATCTCATAAACAAAACGAAATTAAGCAACGTTAAATTCTAAAGCTCCTTGGTCACAATCCGAAGAACTGAACAGATTTGAATTTGGCATCTCTGCGTAATCTGCCGACTTGGATCCCATAGGGTGAACTACCCCACTGTGTACAAATTTTGGTACTAAAATAATTTAAATCCCTAAACCGTAGAAGAGTTTCTATTTTAATTCGAGTTTCGAGTTTTTTCTCAAAAATAAACAAAAAAGCTTCTTGTTGATGAAAATTATCTTATCGACCGGATAGAAATACCAACACTAGTTCCTTTTGTCTACAGTATTGCCATCTAGATAAATTGCTGGCTGTCTATGAAATTATTAGAGGGTATAATAGGGCATACAATTTTAAACAGACTTTGTGATGTGACAGACACTTAAACTATTTGTCATATTTTGGAAATCTTGAATACGATATGAGCCGTTTTCTTTGAAAGTGGTGAAAGTCCATTTTGACAAAAAAATTGTTAATAATTAAAATTCATACAATTTACTATAAGCTTTTCCCAACAAATCTGTTAAAATTTTAATTGTTTTTGTCATTAAAAAATTTTGTAGTTTGTTTGGCGGATTATCTGATAATTATAAAACAAATGATAAAACACTTAAAAATTAACTTATTAGCTTGCCTGCTTAAAACTATCGAATAATTCTATAAATTTTATTCGATAGTCTCCATCACTGAATAAAATTTCGCTATCGAATAATTCGTATAAATTCCAACTATCGAATAATTAGATAGTACACATCACTAATATTTACATTCTGAACATGAACGAATTGTTGGGATAGAAAAATCCCCTAGTTTCACATCAACATCTCCAGCGACCGTAATGGATAGTTCTAGTGTAAGATCGGTTGGTAAAGGCATTTTCTCGAAAAGGAATAAAACAGACTCTCAATTTTGAAATAAAATTAAATCTGAGTTTCAAAAGTATGTTCAGTGTCTAGCTTAACGATCTATTTATAAAGCCACTGCGTTAACTCAAATATACCGAAAATGGCCATTCCATATACAAAAAAGATTTGGACCTAATTTGTTTAAACAACTTTTTTGCGTGTAGACATGATACGCTGCGAATGAAATTTGGGATAATCGGCCCGCTTTGCAGGATCTTTTATATGCAAGTCTATTGTCGAAGTCTGATCTTAAGATACTTATCAATTTTCTCCCATGAGATTAGAATTTACTCTTATTTCTAATTTCTACACCGTTTTCATTTTATAATTTGGTTATAGTAGAATTCCTCACAAATAATTAGAAGGTAGTTAAATAAATTTGCTGGTAAAGTTAATTACTTCTAATAAAAAATTACCGTGTAATAGAATCATAGGTTACCAAACATTTTCAATATACAACGGAAATGCGGATAAATATGAAACTTTTCGAAAAAGTGAACTAACTATAAGAAAAACAGTTTACTTACCAAACAATCTAATTGACTGATAGGAGTTTTGACGCCTGGTTGACTAATATCCCAAACCTTTACACATCCTTTTCCTCCTGTATATACGTATTTTGTTGGATTGGAAATTGTAACGGCACAGACTACTTCGCCATGGTGCAAAGTATTTATTTGTCGTGCGTGCCGTGGAATTCCTGGAGCCACTAAAGCATCCGCGGGAAATGGTACTGGCTGCAATTGACCTTCTCCATTCATGTGAAACGAATACGCCCTGAAAAGATAACATACTAATATATATATATATAGATGACAATAACTGGATATGGGTTTCTTTCACTTTCTGTAGCTTATAATTTACTCATAGAAAGCGGACCTATTGAAATCCTTCATTTGAGCATATGGTCTCTAACAAATATAAATATCAGCATTTTAAATCCTTAAATAGGAGACTAATTAACTGAAATGCTGCAGTGTGTTCACGACATTTTAAAACGACTTGGATCATTATTAATTCAGGTGTTCGATTAAGGTCACTTCAGAGACTGAATTTGGTTCTTCAGGTTAATAAAGTTTGCCACGGCAACGGCAGTTTTTTTTACTTTGAAAGCAAATTTCATGTAGAATACGCATTCATAAATTGATCAGTTGAAAGTGGTGCTAAGAAAGCGTGGTTTTAAGATTGTTCCTTTTGATTGCGCCTAGTTTGCAATGAGCAGCTAGACTATGGAATACATTTTAAGTAGGATCATTTTTTAGATTGAAAACCACATTCGAAATTTTCACCTAGCTAAGTAATTAATGTGATTTCTTAGAGCCTTGTAAGTAAAACTCATTTTATGTTCTATTAGAAGTGGTACAAAAGCCAGAACTCACCAAGAGGTATAATGGGAAAACTTAAAAGAAAATTAGCTTTAAAATATTATCATAAAACTCCACCACATAATTAACCAAAACGTACAGAATATATGATATCTCGATAAATTTGGGCAGATAATACATTTTTCTACAGTCGGTTTGCACGACGTATTCTGAATATCAACACCTTACATTTCGTCTAACATTCGTCTTTATAAAGCTAATGTGCATCATCAGAGTCGTCAAAGGTTTCTGCAAAAGTATAGATGATGAGAGGTGTTAATCCCAGGCACCCCTGGACTGGTATCGAGCCTATTAAATATTATCAGCTCAGTTTGGCTTGAAGTAACACTCCCGAACCATGTACTTTAGTCCGCCCATGTATTTTACATCGGCGGGAACTAGTTTCTGCGCACATAAAGTTCCGTGTCGATCTAAAATATATGCCAGAAAAAATTACATGATTCAGAAGCGTGATCCTCTAGTCCTTCTTGCAACTATTATTTTGATATGGAGTTTCTTAAAAAAATCGTCATCAACAAAAAAACCTGCTCCAAACTATTAGTGGTTTTTCATGTCAGGTTTTGCTGTTTGTTTCTATCAAACACACCAGCTTTTTAAGGTATGACTTCGGTGTTGCAGCGAAACCGCAGTTGCAGCGTGGTTTGGGTGATGTGTTTATAGCCGCATCAGACCAGTTCAAGAGATCAATTCCCGAGGTACATTTGAAGAAAAACTGTTGGAAAGATGGACAATGTCGAACGTTTAACACCTATTTTGTTAGAAGAAGAGGACAAGAAGATCGATTTCTTTAAAGAATCCTAATACAATTTACCTACCATTTTTGCGCATTGATGGGGCTATTTTTATATTGATGGGTAGTTTCGGACTTATTTAAATTGTCATCCTCATTCGCTAAAGGCCATTTTTCCAAAATCGTAATTGCGACTGCGATTTGACATGCTGGTCTACTAGTTAAATCGCATTAGCCGCGACTCTAGTGGCCGAGTCTCTAGTCGAACGCAGGATTGAAACCGTTAACGTGCAAAGTACATTAAAAGGAGTAATTTTCGATCAGCCGCGAGTCGCAAACGCATCACCGAAACCGTATCTTTTCGGTGCGGTTTCGGTGGTGTGATCGGCGGCTGCAACTCGGTGCTGCGTTTAACCGCAATCACAGTCGCAGTCTCAGGTGTGATTTAGGGTAGCTTCCATAGCCGCAACAGATCAGGTCAACAGATTAGTTCGTGAGGTACCATTGAGCAATCGTGTTCAAAAAATAGATGACGTCGAACTTTTACAGAAGACGGCTATTTCAATCTTCTTAAAAATAACTGTTTAAAACTAGATGAGAATAAGTTTAGACAATTATTTTGGATAAATCCTGATCAGCTTGATTTGTCTGAACAATGCTATGAATTTCAGATCGGATACCGACAATCTTAGCTTAGTATATCATACCTTAATTAAATGAAATAAAGATAGAATATTAACTAACACCCAGTATATTGAAGAATTTTGCAAACCAAAAATAATATTCTCAGAATGCAAAGAAAAATAGCTGAAAGTAAAAGAAATCAATATAAACAGTATTTCGCTTTGTGNNCAAAATGGACAAAATTAATACTCCAAATGTATGCCAAGGCTTAAAGTAGCAACAACGCTACACATGTAAGTAAAAATATTTAAGTATCTGAACAAAGAATTTTAGTATCTTCCCAAATTTGATTGTCCTGACTAATCACCTGTTAGGCCTAATTAATTTTAGAATGTTTTAAAGTGTTGCAATTGTGATGTATTTTAGTGTGTGATATGATGAGGCTGTTGACGAACTGT